ATAGTAAATTTCAAACTTTATTTAAACATTATTAGAATTTGATGCTGTATCCATTTTCAACTATGAATCTACCTACAATTTATATTAATTGTGCAATTCATATTTCAATCACTAACAAGATTGATACAGCTCTGAATTTTAATTGTGATTACATTTTTGACACAGCATAGGTTTCTGACACAGAATGAATGTGGTATAAGAACTTAAAAAATTGACCTTTACCTATTATGGTCAAATATCCAAAATTAAGATACAAGGTTAGATTCAACATATCAGAGAACCCCAAGAATTTAATTTGATGAAATAAACAAAATTTAATTTTGGACCCTTTGGACCTAAATGTGGACCAATATGATAACGGGGCCCAAAATCCAAAATCTAAATACACGGTTAGATTCATCATATCAAAGAACCCCAATTTTGGTTCACACAATTGAACGACGAGTTAAAACTGAAGTTACTGTATATGCACAGGTAAATTAAAACGTAGATAATTGCGATGAGAACATGTTATGAAGCAAACATATTTCTGTTCTTTACGCATTTCCTGAAGACGTTTCAAGTCCTTTGCCAAATAACTCATTATGTGTGAGTGGAAGATATTGGCACTTACTGTGCATATCTTTTAAACCAGTCAAGCAAGAACCTTGAGCTGCCGCTTTACGGCGTATCAAATGGAAGACAGCACCTGTGCGACCTGACTGATCAAGAGTTTTTGTCGACACATAGCAAAAACATCCTGTATCGACTGACTATCTTTTGTCATAATCTCCACCATTTAGAGACTGCAATAAGGAACCTAGAACCTGCTGCACATATAAAACAGAAATTACATTCATCCTGGCACTTAATTGACATTGGAATGCTAATTTTTCAATCTGTTTGAGAGGCTGTGTAAAAGTTGCCTGTGAGTATCCCATGACTTGACAGTATTCTGACCGTGTGTCTGTCTTAACATAGGTTCCAATAAATCTTCTAATGTTGGAACTTTTAAAAACTCGACTGAACTATCATGAATTGGAAAACAATTCTTATAGTCCTATTTATATGCAGAAATTATCTCTGGGTTTTTTAAACGCCAAGAATGTTCTAAAATATCAACCTGCGCTTGGTCTAAAACCAAACAAATAATACATCTCTCTTTAGCAATATCCTCCTTAAATATTTTGGATAAAAAATTTCCATTATTGTTCGCCTGCCCTTGATCAGACTTATCATGCTTTTTAGAAAGAGAAATACAACCATGTACATTTGAATTTTGTACAGAGACATGTTTTAAAAACCGTTCAACTATTTGTGACATTTTGTTCGCGCATCGTTGTCAATATAATGGAATTTGATGCGACTGTCGTACAAGTGAGAGGTTTAGCGCTTTAATACCAGGTTCAATCCACCATTTTCTACATAAGGAAATGCCTGTACCAAGTCAGGAATATGACAGATGTTGTCCATTCGTTTGATGTGTTTGTGTTTTTGATTTTGCCATTTGATTAGGGACTTTCCGTTTTGATTTTTCCTCGGAGTTCAGTAGTTTTGTGATTTAACTTTTCACATTTACGATTATTAATCGTATCAAATTATTCAGTGTTCTCTTTAGCTACAATACTTCATCAGACCTTATATCCAGATCATTTCTTTCACATAGGTGAACATGTAAAGATATTTCTGACCATTTGTCAATATCTAGGTTTTTAGAAACCCTTGGCGACCCCAAATCTTGGTCCAAGTCTGGTTCTAATGATATGACTAGCCTACGCGTCCTAGTTTACCAATAACAAATGCATTCAGATCTGGGCATTTTTCCCTATTCAGATTGCTAGAGACAAACAACTCAATAAGTTAGTCAAATTTATGATAAAGTTCACCTCAAGATTTTGGATTTTTTTTTTATCATATTCAGCCTGCATGTTAGCTGATTTTGATGCCTAGTATTCTTTATACTGGCTGACTTCTTCTCTTCTTCTGAATTTGTCCTAACACTGGCCTTGCTGGACTATGAAAAAGAACGTTTTTCTTTCACTGGTAAAACAGTTGCCGACTCTTCATACATCGAGCCATTCTGCTTTTCCGTCTAATCCATGTTGATAAATAACGATGGATAAAACAATCTTATAAGTACTTATCTAAGTAATTTTAGATTTTTATGAGAACACACGTTCAATTGAACGCAAAAAACATTCTGCGGTTGTATTAAAATGATGAAGAGATTGATTGGCCTTTATTTCCGGCCGACCTCCTGCTGAAAAGTCTCTCTGGACTAATGAAATACATGTTCCACTACTTAACTGTCTATTCTACTTACTAGTATACTTGGTACAATCAAAAACCTGGTCATAAATTTTTCAAATAAGGCCTTTGAAAATAGCGGAAATAGTTACTTTGGGAGTGTCAAAATTTGTTTGAAGTACTTGATAAATTGCATACTCATATTGGGGATTTCGAATCTGTTCAAAGCTTTGATTTTTCTACCCTGTATACCACTTTGTTTCATAATCTCATTAAGAAAAATTCACATATTTAAGTAAAATGGATATCTAAAAAGTCAGAATGCGAATATATATATGTTCAAACTCCTTTGGGTCGAAAACAAACAAAAGACCTGCTTTGATACGATAACTGCACTTGAATTTTTACTACATAACATTTTTATTCGCTATTGAGATTCCGTATATCGTCAAGTTATCGGAATTCGAATGTGGACTAACTGTACACTACTTATTGTGGACCTGTTTCTGTATTGTTACGAGTTACAATTTATGAGTAAAATCAGCAAAGACCCATCGGAACAACATCTGATACAAAAATTTAATAACACTTTTAGATATTTGGATGATATATTGGCTCTCAATAATGACGACTTCAGTATGTACATTAAAGAGATTTGTCCTGTTGAACTGACTTTAAATAAAGCTAATACTAAAAATGAACACTAATGTTGATATCTATATCTTTAACGGGAAGCCTCATACTTAAATTTACGATAAAAGAGATGATCTTTCATTCCCTATTGTTAATAATCCATTTTTAGATGGTGATGTTTCCTCGGCACCATCGTATTTTGTTTATATATCTCAACGTGTCCGGTTAGCTCGTGTATATAACAACGTATTTGATTTTAACAAAAGAAATCTCTGTATTACTGAAAATTATTACACCAGGGTAATTTTCGATACCACAAACTTGTCAAATATATTTACTAAATTTTATCATCGGTACAAGGACATCATTCGTAAATATAAATCTACGTGCAGACATTTTATAAGTTCAGGTATTTTACATCTTTTATGACAATATTCTATACAAAGCACAAAAATGTCGTCATTCAACTCAAAGGCTAACCAAACCTTTAAACAGACTTATTCAGAAGGGATATAGTTACGATACTGTTGTCAGGTTATTTAAGATGGCATTTTTTGGAATTGATATTGATTCACTCATAGGGTCTTTGCATCGGAAATGAAAATATTTACTAAGTATTCTTAAACCAGTTGTTGTCATGATACGGGTTATGTTCTTCTCGTATATTTTATGATGGTATGATACTATACCCCTAACGGGAGGGATTTTCCTTGATTTTCATATGATGAAGACATTATCTTTCAATCAGTTTATTTTGAGGTCTGGAGCTGGCATGTGATTAACTGCTAGTAGTCCTTTGTTAATTTATGTTGATCATTGTCATTTTTCTTAGTTTCTTCTGTTACTTATTCTAACGTCGGACTCGGACTTCTTTTAAACTGAGTTTTACTGTGCGTATTGCTGTGTGTTTGTTTATTCCACATTGGCTAGAGGCATAGGGGGAGGGTTGAAATCTCACAAAACATGTTTAACTCCGCTGAATTTTTGCGCCTGTCGCAGTCAGGAGTCTCTGGCCTTTATAACTCTTGTATGTTTTTTTTTTAATTTTGGTTCATTTAAATGTGTCGGAGTTTAGTGTGTCGTCCATTTTCGCTGAACTAGTATCCATTATTGTTTAAGGGGCCAGCTGAATACCGCCTATTGATGTGGAATTTTCTCGCAGTGTTGAAGACCCATTGGTGGCCTTGAGCTGTTTTCTGCTCTTTGGTCGGGTTGTTGTCTCTTTGACCCATTCTCCGTTTCTATATTCAATTTAATGTTGACTGAGGTACTAAATAATTAAAGTAAAATCAATGTTAGTACCAAAAATTGCTCATGCAATGTTGATAACTATTAACAATAAATGTATTCAAATACTTTAAATTAAGTGGTATATATAAGTATCACATTATTTGTTTTCTATTTCGTGGAATTTTTTTAAAAGTTGTATAGAATGAGGATCTTTACGTTTTGAAAAATGGGTAAGATGCAACAAAGTTATTTTCAAATATTGGTCAAAGCGAAACGAGACTGCTTGGCGTATAAATATGAATTTAACTCAAATTAAGCAGAGGAAAAAATGGGAGCGTTGGTGAATATACAGTAGAATAATGTATATCTCTTAGAAGTGCTGTTATTAAGATTCAATTTAAAAAACGAAAAAGACATAAAAAGCTAAATTAACCAAAATGTTGAAGAGCATTTAAGACAAAAATAAAATTTGTCAATTCAGACTGTAAATACATGTATTGTTGAAGCAAACAATGTCGTAACTTTAAAGCATATCTCAAGACCCCATTTTAGTCTTTTTTTTTTCGATCAACCTAAAACAGCATTTCAAATATTTATCTCATTAGTACATTTGTTTCAGTATTGTTTCCATGGGAAATGCAGTTCACATAATAATCTTTGAAATCGATTTTGTTTCAAAAATTTAAGACTTACAATTAGAACAACTAAACTCTAAAACTCTACTCTCAGTTTTAAGGGTGGGGAGACCATCACTCGCAAGTTATGTGGTATCTAAAGATGGATACTACATTTATTTTTATGTTTTTCGGAATGCAATTCAGAATAAGAATGAGTTGATACCCGAAATAACTGCCATGCTCATTTAGTTACATACAATATGACAAAATTAGCTTTAAATTGTCTTTGTTGTTTTAATAGTAGAACCATTATTTCACATAAACATTTTCAGTTTCAGCCATGTCGACAAGATGTATCCTGTTTATGATATGGAACTGCTGGATCTTCAAGTTTCAAAGTTTCCTGTGTGCGCTTCAAAGAAAAAAGAAGTTTGTCTTGTGTAAGAGTAGTCTTCCAAATGTATGCAAAAATATTTCCTTACAGTGAACAAGTGAGATAACACACGTTTATCTTAAAGAATTATTTACAAATCGATTTCCTTATATACAATCGGAACATTGTCGAAAATTGTTTTCTTGTAACGACCATTGTTTGAACAACTTGTGATTGATTTTTATAACATTGGCTAAATTGATTAAGTACAAACAGTTTGCGAATTAAAGTGATGAGTACATCCAAGTTTAACGGCGTCGTGTTGTTTTGTAATTGTTTGACTCTCTCTATATATCATGTATGTATTAAGGACTTGCATCATCATTATCATCATCAATTGCAGGTTTTAAAGCCACTTTTAGTTTATGTTATTCATTTAAAAAACTCCTGTAAGCATGAAACAAGTACTTTACATAAATATCTTGTATAGCATTCAAAAGATAATGTTATATGTACAAAATAATTTGCGAATAAATAGCTAAATATGATTAAATGTGTTAAAAGGATATTAAAATAACGAAATTCAACATACATATGGGGACTGTAACCAGTAGCAGCGGCTGCGCATGGAACTGTTGAGTACATCTTGTTGGAATTTACTTCTAACTGAGTCATCTGTCCAATCAGAAGTTTCCACCAGATTGACTAATTCATCAAGAGAGCTTTGATCTTTCCACGTATACGACAGTAATGAAGTATGACCAGGAATGGTGTCATAAAGTAGAGATTGGATTGTCATAAAAAGGGGTACTCGAGGATAATAGTAGACAAATGAGAAACACATTTCGTCCGTTGTTGAAAATCCTCCCTAATAATAATAAATCAAGTGTGTATTGAAGACATATATTTTGTTTGCAATAAAGAGCTCTGAACTTTTGACTTTTATAGTGAGGGATGGTTGAGCACTTTCCATCGTTAACCTTTGCAGCTTCACTTCAAAACAAAACTACCGAAATGGCTTCGCAACACACGGTTCTCATTCGGATACTTGATTACTTGAATAATCGAAAAAAAATCTCCAATTTGACATGTGGTTTCCCAATTCAACATAGAATTTTACTTCTTTAAGAGATGCCTGTAACTATCCTATACATTAATATTTTATAATAGGACCAGCATTGCATATGTCCATGGCATCAAAATGTGTTGCAGTATGTCGTTTTGATAACGATGTTATGCAAATTCGATGGGATCTTGTTTTATTTATTCAGAATATTTTTTTGTTCGTGAGCACTTGAGACCACAGCACAACCCCCCTCCCCCTCAAAAGAAAAATCGTTGCTCAGACTTAGTTTAGTTTGTGGTGTTTGTCTTTTCCTAGTTTTATAATTTGTTATTGCAATGGTATTGGTTTTATTTTGTATTGTCAAATGAATTGTTGATTTAAGGGGAATGCGTAGCTTGTGTTTAAAAACATTCCAATCAAAGTTTGTTTTGAAAAATAAGTAACTAAAATTGAAAGTAGCAGTATAAAAAATGCAATCATGGTCTTATAGGGCGATACTTACATATGTTATGTTTTTCCTCAAAGTGGAATCATATGTACATTCTACTCTGATACTATCACCCTGAAAGAAAATTTCAAGGAATATCATATCAATAGAAAAGATCAAAGAAACAACAATAACGTTTTACTACTTAGAACGTGCGGATGATTTGACTTCATACGGACATATTTAGGAAAATTTCTATTCCGAAAATTCAGATTGATAATTTTATAGGTTATTTTTATGATTTGGTATCTTCCGCCTTTCTTTTAGAACTATACATGTTCATTGGTAAATAAATTATCATATACAAGGATTGCAATTTTGTACGCTAGACTAGTGTTTCGTCTACAAAAGACTAACCAGTGACGCTCAAATCAAAACATTTTAAAAGCCAAATAAAGTACAAAGTTTAAGAGCATTGAGACCCAGGAATTCCATAACAAATTGCCAAATACAGCCAAGGTAATCTATTCCTGGGGTAGAAAATCCTTAAACTGTTGTTGCTTCTAATTTACACATTTTTCAATATAGCATATGAAAAGAGTAACTCAATGATATTTTGATATTTTGAAGTGAAATGCGAATCACACTTTCACAGCTTAAACATACCTTTCTCATCGTAATTTCCTTTCTGAAGAGCCTTGTTTCTTGGTAATCAAAGTCATAATGTTCATCTTCAGCAATAGGCTCCAGTTCGACATCATTTCTGAGATGCCTTGTTGTTATTCCCTTCCCTAGTAGATGGGCATGCTGCCATACTGCAAACAATTTTATTTCGTCTATGGAAGCATCAGTTAGTGCCTGTTTAGTTTAAAAAAAAAAGTAGAAGTGGAGGAAAAGTACTTTTCATCCTTCAAAACTAGAGTTATTTTAATTCACAGATTTTGATATGGGTTTTATTTACTGCCTGTATATTATTTTACAACTTCTTCGATGCCACCGTTGATAGGCTAAAAATGCCCGAGGTTTTAAGATATATTTTTATAGGCATGGTCTTTTGTAACTTTTCCACAGAAACAAAGAGAGGAGTTAACAACATTTTGATAAATGTAAATTTGTTTACAAATGTTTGAATATGTCTGAAAAACTTTATTGGAAACTGCTGATTTTAATTAATGCATGTAATGTCATTTAAGCATATCTAATGTTTTGATTTAAATAATACAGTAAATCATTTTGCATTAATAGGGTTCCCAAAAACTGGTAAAAATAATCCTCCTAATTGAAAAATAATTTATGTTTACAGAGAGTTTCTCAGCAAAACTATTCATTGTGATTCGTGAATTTTGTGTGTTAACAAAACGAAATTGTGCATGTAAATACTCTACTATATCTGTTGTTTCTGTTTGATTAAAAAAAAAATTAACAATAAATAAAACTAGAATGAAGATCAAATACCCAAAGGTTTTCGTCAGACAAGAGTAAAAATAATAATAATGTAATCCGACTGTGTTCTTTATCTTTTTGTTTACAAAATATAATAAATGAAAAAAAAAATTTTTTTTTAATATTATTTTACATATTTGGGATTTTAGTCAGATTATTAAGTGTAGACAGGCAGTGACTCATTGCATCATATGCTCCTTGTGCTTGCATTGTTTGGATAATGGTTGATGCAGGTTCGTTTTGGGATAGCGTTTTTAGCTCCAAATGAGATTCATATATCACGACTGTATCTGCTCCCAAAAGTTGAGATGTTGAGATTATTAGCAAAATTGTAGTTAACTCTAAATTATTTGAATTTTTAAAAAATTAGATTTTAATAATTGCTGATTTTTGTCTTTTTCTCTTATTACAAACTGTGCTTTTATGAGTTGAGATTGTACTTAAAGTATTGAAAATGAAAAACAAAATCACAATTGGTAGTTATACTTGTACTTTGTAGTGTATGCTAAATTTTCTTCATGTATGAAATTTTAAAAAAATCTGTCACATTTATGGCCTGCATCATCATAACTTCTGTTATTTATAATTTTCCTTCAGCGGACCATAAAATAAAATACAAAACCAACTACCTTAGATATACACTCTTTCGTGCACACTGCCTGTATTTTGAAGTCGCAATAATGTGGAGGAATAATCTGCTGCTTGTTTTCGTACATTCCAACTGTCAATATTCCTGCATCGTGTTGGCGTAAATGTGACGTATATGTAAATTTCATTCCAGAACTGTCCACAAGGCCTATAAAAACGTGATGTCAAAGTATTTAAATGAATTAATTTCTAGGGACTTAAGTCAACACCGGTTATTTTTCAGGAACACAATAATTAAAGATTAGGATTGTATGACGTATTCTTGTTACGATTTATCCTAGGTTTCTCCTTACACAGCTTCATTTTTGAAAAATGTAAGAAGATTTCAATGGGATATCAAATGTTTAAGTCCAAGGACAGATAACAGCATACCTAAAGGTAAATGATTAGAAAAACCAAAAGATGGATCAACAGGAACACCTTTAAAAATCGTGGATAAATTCGAGTGTCCTAGAAGTTTAGGCACTTTTTGGTCTGATATCACTCACCTGTAATTTCATTTTCAGGCATTTGACTTATTTGCAGATCTTACTTTGCTGAACATTTTTGTTATTTACACTTTCTCTCTTTTTATAATAATATTAAAGATAATACACAACCCAAAACTGTAAAATTTTCTAAAAATTAACTATTTCTGGACAGTAACCCAACAATAAGTTGTCCTATTGGTCTGAAGATTACTTGACAGGTAGATCTAAACCTGTTTAACACTTTCACCTATGTCAGTTTTGCTCTTACTGCTTTAGTTTTTGAGATGAAAGCCAAAAACTTCATTTGACCCCTATGTTCTATTTTTAGAAACTGCCGCCATGTTTTGGAATGGATCAAATCCCCGGATACAATCTATAAACAAGATACCCTAAGGAACATTCAGTTAAAGTTTTTAAGTATTTAGCCAAGTAGTTTCAGAGAAGAAGATTTTTGAAAAAGTAATTAGACTTTCACAAAAAATGTTAAAAAAACGTTTTAAGGGCAATAACTCCTTAAGGGGTCAATTGACTATTTTGATCATGTTGACTTATTTGTATATCTTACTTAGCTGAACATTTATTGCCATTTATACTTTCTCTCTATTTATTATAATATTAAAAAAAATAACCAAAAACAGTAAAATTTAATAAAAAATAAACTATTTCCAAAGGTAACCCAACAATGGGTTGTCGAACTTGTCTGAAAATTTCATAACAGAAGTATTTGGCCCAGTAGTTTTAGAGAAGAAGATTTTTGAAAAAGTAATAGACTAGCACGGAAAAATGTAAAAAATAAACGTTTCAAGGGCAATAATTCCTAAAGGAGTCAATTGACTATTTTGATCATTTGACTTATTTGTAGATCCCACTTAGCTGAACATTTTTGCCATTTACACTTTCTCTCTATCTATTATAATATTAAAGATAATAACCAAAAACAGTAAAATTTCATAAAAATAAACTATTTCGGACAGAAACCCTACAATGGGTGGTCCAATTGGTCTAAAAATTGCATGGCAGATAGATTTTGACTTATTCATCACTCCATGTCACTTTTGCTCTAACTGCTATAGTTTTGAGATAAAAGCCAAAAACTGCATTTGACCCCTATGTTCTATTTTTAGCCATGGCGGCCATGTTTGTTAATGGATCAAAACTTCGGATACAATTTATAAACCAGTTACCCTAAGGAACATTCTGTTAAAGTTTAGAAGTATTAGACCCAGTAGTTTCAGAGGAGAAGATTTTTAAATGTTAGCAAACATGATGAAAGAATTGGTTAAAATTGTCTTTAAAGGGCAATAACTCCTTAAGGGGTCAATTGACAATTTTGGTCACTTAATTTTTTTGTAGATCTTACTTTGCTGAACACTATTGCTGTTTACAGTTTATCTCTATCTATAATAATATTCAAGATAATAACCAAAAACTGCAAAATTTCCTTAAAATTACCAATTAAGTGGCAGCAACCCAACAATGGATTGTTCCGTTCGTCTGAAAATTTCAGGGCTGATAGATCTTTACCTATAGAACATTTTTACTTTGTCAGATTTGCTCTCAATGCTTTAGTGTTTAAGATATAAGCCAAAAACTGCATTTGACCCCTATGTTCTATTTTTAGCCATGGCGGCCATATTTGTTGATGGATACAATTTATAAACTAGGTACCCTAAGGAACGTTCAGTTAAAGTTTGAAGGTATTTGGCCCAGTAGTTTCAGAGGAGAAGATTCTTGAAATAGTTTACGACGACGACGGACGACGACGGACGCCAAGTGATTGCATAAGCTCTCATGGGGCCCTTCGGGCCCCGGTGAGCTAAAATGACCATAGCACAATAACACAATGGCGGGATATATAAATACCTTGCCACGCCAAAAGGATATCACCAAAAATAGCCTAAACTGTTAAGGTTAATAAACACAAAGCCAATAAAAAGAACACTATAACACGTAATTAAGATGATAAACAACGTCAGTATCTTAAATCTATACTTTAAGACCGTCATGTTTTATTTGTGAAGTTGATACGGAATATTTATCAAAAATGTCTTGGTATCTTCCGATGAACATTTTTAGAAAAAGGAAGAGACGTTCTTTGACATAACCCTTCTTTATCAGCTTTATGCTCAGACACTGATGACGTTCTATAAAGTCTGAGTAGCAGCTGCAAGCTCTTGAATGCCGAATGAGTTGGGAAATGAAGTTAGAATATTGCTGCTGAGGTGGGGAAAATTAACAATTTCGTCTCGTTTGTCATAGATTCTGGTACTGAAGTGACCGAAAGAGCGTATCAAAATCATCATATTGGAGCCATATATATATGGAAACTTTTGTTTAGTTAACAACTTATCATCAGCATGATATCTATGAGTTTGGATACGAAGCAGACTTAACAGTATATATAGGTTTTTTTTTTAAAGTTAATTGGGATTAGTCCGGTCAATATAGTAAGCCAATTTTAAATTATTCACCTAAATAGCTGATGGAATTTTGAAATATTCACCTATATAGCTGAAAGTGACGTTAACGGTAACTAGTTTCTTTTTGTTCTTTTTAAAAGCTCTATAGAAAGTCAGCTTTACACAGCTGGGTATAATCATAAACTAGGAACCAACATTCACTTCAACGTGGTAAGCAGATTCTGTCCTCTTATTGTTTGAACTACTGACGAAAAAATTCAAGTTACACCAGGACCGGCATTGAAATTAAATTCATCATGTGTTTTACTCATTGCCGACAAAACGAATGTTGATCTATAATTGTTAACATCCATATCCTTTAGTCTATGGTTGATAGTTATTAAATTGACATGCATACCACATCTCCCAATTTTTATAGTCAGCGACCAAGACAAGATATTGAGTTATCTTTCGTGTTTTTTGCTCCACGTGAAACAAAATATTGTCCTTAATTAATAAAAGTTTATATTAGGTTTTTTATTTTTTTTTATATATATTGGTCTAGAGCATGATTTAAGAGACATTATTTATAGAAATTCGCATCTGGTGTCTGTAAATTTGTTACAATTAAATTTTTTACCACCACTGGGTCGGTATTGTTAGTTGCATAGGATATCAATATATATTTCTCAGCAGTCAGTACATTGGTCCTGCTATGAAAATACGGATATTGTTAATTGAAATATGCTGTCAATTTTTTTCAAATCCTTCAAAATTAAGAAATGTATTTCCCTTATGTATAGCTTCCATTCCTTGTTCGAGTTTATTTATATTTGTTGTCCTTTGTTCTGATTTTAATCATCTCTTCCATGTTTCGGAAGTTAAATATTTTTGCCTCGAGAATCACTGAAGAGACAAAAACAGTCGAAATGCACATCTGGTGCAATCAAACTGTTTTCGATAAAGTCATTCATTCTACATGACCGATACCTCTACTGGTGGACTGTTGGTCCCAATGGATAGCACTAGTCGAAAATCCGGGAATTTATTCATCCTACATGGTCGATACCTCTACTGGTGGACTGTTAGTCCCAATGGATATCACTAGTCGAAAATCCGTAAATTTATTTATTGAAATTTTCTGTTTGAATTTTTTCGAAATCTGTTCAAATTAAGGAATGTATCTCCTTCATGCATATTTCCTTTTTCGGGTCAAGCTTGTCCGTTAAATGTTTTAGCAGCTTTTCAACGTTTGTATTAAGTTTTGGGTGTTCAAATACTGTGGACTGGAGCATACCTGAAGAGGCGATAATTGTCCAAATGCGCATTTAGTACTGTTAAATTGTTAAATTGTTACCGTTAATTCTACTATTCGTCATGAACAGCTTTAATAAATAAAGCCTTGTGTATCCCACCTGTCAGCTTATCAGTGATACGTTATAACATATTCACCTCATTATCTATAACTTACCCGATACAGCCCCAGGATTATTATAATGTATTTCAATGATGTATGCATATTCATTTTCATTTTCACCAATGGGTAATCCAACATTTGGTGGAAAATTAAATGGCTGAAATAATACGGTGAAATAATCATTAAATATCTTAAATAAAATTCCGTAAATTAACAAAAAATTGTGTACATTTATTAGTGCGATTTGAACAATGGACACAAATGCAATATTTGTTATATAATTTCAGAAAATATTATAAACAATTACTACGGTACTAGCATGAAAATACGGATATTGTTTTATTCAAATTTGCTATAAAAAAAATCCGAAATCATTTAATTAATAATTAAGGAAATTATCTCCCTCATGCAAAGCTCTGATTGCCTGTCCGGTTTTGGCTTTACTTTTGGTCCTTTTTTATTATATCAGCTCTTCTGCGTTTGTATTAGTTTTTGGACTTTCATATAATTTGACCTCGAGCATCACTGAAAAAAACATTATTTGTCGAAATGCGCATTTGGTGCAGTAAAATTGGTACCGTCTATGTTATGAATACAAATTAAAAGTCTATGCGAGGGTTGTTTTTCTTTTCTTTTTAATTTTCCTATCCCGTAGCAAGTGAATTCACCTCATATGTGTATCAATTCAGTGTTTAATGAAAAAAATCTGCCGAATAGAATTGTAATAATTTAAAAAAAAATCAAGAGGTACGAATGATGCAAAGTCTGGTAATGAGAACGTTGTATCTAGCTCCAACGATTGACTCCGTTTGAAAGATACGTCAACTTATACAACGATACAAATGGCATAGCGGGAATATGGTCTTATACAGGCGTGACATAAACTCGTGAGACCAGTACTACCGGAAGATGTCTTCAATAGTTATTGACATATAATCGAATTACAATATAGAACAGCAAAGAGGATTGGCATAGAAGGAGATAACCCTTGTTTGTCAACTTTATACATGCTGATGTGATTGTACCAGGTCAGGAATCTAGTCAGTGGTTGTCGTTTATTTCTTTTTTTTTCAAATTTTAGAAATTGATATTGATAGCAGATGTTATGTAGAAAGTAATATTCTCAACCAACTTGTCAACACATGGGAAGACTAATTTTTTTATTAGTTGTTATTTGCTTCGAACTAGCATTCAGTATCTACAAATACTCTCAAATCGGTACTTTGTGTTTTAATAGCCTAGAGAATGGAAACGGGGAATGTGTAATAGAGACAAAAACTCGACCAAAGAGCAGAAAACAGCCCAAGGCCACCAATAAGTCTTCATCGCAGCTGGAAATCACGCATCCGGAGACGGGCTTCATTTGGCCCCTAAACAATAATGTATACTAGTTTAACAAAATGGACGCCACACTTGACTCCGAAAGATACAAATGAACCAAAATTAAAAATAAGCAGGCGCAGACGCAAAAATACGGCTGGGTTAAACAACTTTCTCTCTACTCTTAAAGGAGGGTAGTATACCTAACTCATAATGATTTCACGGAAGCTAACCAAAGCTATTACCTTTGCCTACCACTCAAGTCATTTTGCTGTAAACTGATCGAAAGATTATGTCTTCATCATATGAAAATCCACCACAATCCCTCCTGTTAGTGGTTTATTATCATGCCATCTTAAATAACACGAGAAGAACATCACCCGTATCATGCCAACAACTGGTTTGAGAATAAATTTGTTTATTTCCGATGCAATGACAATATTAGTGAATCAAAATCAATTCCTAAAAATGCCATCTTTAAGACTTGACAACAGTATCGTAACTATATTCCTTGCGAATAAATCTGTTTAAAAGTATGGTTAGCTTTTGATGTGAATGGCGACATTTTTGAGCTTTGTATAGAATATTCCTATAAAGATGGGATGTGAAATACCTAAACGTGTAAGATGTCTGCACGTATATTTATATTTACGAATGATGTCTTTGTACAGATGATAAACATTTAGTTAAAGTTTTGACATATTTGTGATATCGAAAACCCTGGTGTAAAAGAGAGAAGCGAAAGATACCAAAGGGACATTCAAACTCATAAGTCGAAAATAAACTGACAACGCCATGGCTTAAAAAAGAAAACGACCAACAGACAAAAAATAGTACACAAAAGACGACATTGTAATAATGTGATCATTTTTCAGTAATACAGAGGTTTCGTTCGTTAAAATCAAATACGTTGTTACATATACGAGCGACTCGAACAAGTTGAGATATATAAAGAACATACGATGTTACCAAGGGAACGTCACCATCTTAAAAAGGATAATTAACAATGGGTAATAAAAAAATTATCCTTTTTGTCGCAAATTTAAGTATAAAGCTTTTGTTAGAGATATATATATTAAGATCCAGAAAAAGACATTGTTCATTGTTATCATTAGCTTTATTCAAAGTAAGTTTAACATGATAAATATCTTTTGTTTTAATACTAAAGTCGTCATTATTGAGAGCCAAAATATCATCCAAACATTTAAAAGTGTTATTAAAGGCTAGAGGTTCCTGACTTGGGAAATTTTTGTATCAGGTGTTGTTTTGATGGTTTTTGGTCGATTTTCGACATAAATTGTTATTCGTAACAATTCAGTAACAGAGAAGTCGTTTTGTCAATTTTTTTCATATATTTTGTTTCGATCCGATAAGTCAAGCCAATTTCAACTGACTTGTATAGTGTATTCTTATGTTGTGCTGTAACAGCACTGCGCCAAACTGGGTGGTTGTCTTTTGTTGCCCTGTATCATATTTTCATTTAGTTTTTTGTACAGTTTGTTCTTGTGTTGTGCTGTTATGCCATTGTCCCAAATTAGGGTGAAGGTTGAGCACCCTCAAACAAGTTTAAACCCTCCAGATTCAGTGGTTGTTGTTGTTGCTGTATATCATATTTGTTTTTTCGTTTATTGCTTTTTACATAAATTAGACTGTAAGTTTTCTCGTTTTTATTGTTTTACATATGTCATGTTTGGGGCTTGCTATACGGTAAAGGATTTTGTCTTTGTTGAAGGCCGTACGGCGGCCTATAGTTGCTAACTTCTACGTCATCTGATCTCTGGTAGAAAATTTTCTCAGTGCCAATCATACCACATCTTCTTATTTGTAATATTAAAATTAACACTAATATATTCTTGAAAACCGCGTACATTCCGTTTATGCAGGTTTATGTCTCTTTTCTGTTTTTTTATGGTGTTCGTGAATGTCAATCGCAATGATGTACATCCCACATATATTTTTATCAATATTAGAATAGTTTAAGTAAATTCGAACGACAAATATGTAAAACATAGAAGGAGAGACGTACTATGTCAACGCATCTGATTTCATTATATTTGTATATACTCGGAGCAAATTACACCCATGTTGTAATGTACTTTCATATATTTTGTTGTTTTTTGTTTGAAACAGGTTTAAATTTTATAATGTACTTACGCCACTGCCAACAGCCCAGCCGGCTACAACATTTCCACAAGGCATCATATCCACAGGAACAGTGTAACATTCAAAATTTCTCCCAATGTACTTTCGTGGATAATTATGTCACTTGTAAACATTCATGTGGTGTACAAATGGTTCATGATCTTTTTGTATTATAGCCTCAGCCTGTTTAAAAAAATGTATTAAGGAATGTTAATCAAGAAAAAAATAACAAGACTGGTAAGTTATAATGCCTATATATTCAAACAGAGCGGCAATTTTGTTACTCAAAGTCAACGATGCGTTAAATGTTCAAAAATAATTAAAAGCTCAATTTTTCAATTAGTTTTGATAAATACCAAAAATTCATGCTTTCGCAAAGCTAATCGCTCTTGCCTACCTTTATCAGGTGATGTTTCGTGGTAATGTCATCCAACGAATAGACTCTGCATTGATATGTGGTGCGCTTAATTGGAACATTAAACTGTAAAAAAAATATTTTAGTTATTGAGTATGGATTGTCATCATACAGTTTCAATAAAAAATGTATAAATACAGATACTACGGTATTAAGGGTTTAAGGAGCTCTTCTCCTTCACCTTATAAGAGGTCAGTGGCAAACAATAAATGAAGACAGAGGAAATTATTCAATATAGATCAGACATAATTTCATGAAGTCTACGACTTGAGGGTTTATTTCATAAAATAAAACATGATGAGTTTATGTATAACCTCTGGGTCGATGCCACTATTTACAAACCATGGAATTTTTCGAAATACAATGCAATGTCTACCCCAGAAATAGATTACCTTAGCTGTATTTGGCAAAACCTTTCGGAATTTTGGTTACTCAAGGCTCTTCAACTTAGTACTGTATTTGGCCTTTTTAATTTTTTTGATTCGAGCGTCACTGGTGAGTTCTTTGTAGACAAAACGCGCGTCTGGCGTGCAAAATTCTAATCCTGTTATCTATGGTAAGTTTATCAGTATATCAGAATTTTGAAAGTGCCATCAAACTCATATTGTAGTTCTAAGACCATAATAGTTTTTATTATACTTCACGTTAAAATGCCATATTTTGATTGGCTAATACGAGGGTGTTAATTTACTCTATTACCCTTCATGGAGACGCTTGGTCAAGTGTGCGCTTTATTAAATACGACTCTATCCTATGGCAAATACTCTATTACCCTTCACGGAGACGCTTGATCAAGTGTGCGCTTTATTAAATACGACTCTATCCTATGGCAAATACTCTATTACCCTTCACGGAGACGCTTGATCAAGTGTGCGTTTTATTAAATACGGATGGTTGTTATGTACAAGACGTCATAGTTTATTACTTTGAATTTTAAATTTAATCGACAGTAATAACAGAACATTCAGCATAATAAATTAAATAACACATATCTGAGAGGGTGATAGAGCAGATTGTTACCCCTCGAAAAGACATTGTCAACCTTGGCTTCGCCTCAGTTGACAATGTTTTCTCGGGGTAACAATCTGCTCTATTACCCTCTCAGCTATGTGTTATTTATATAATGTTCACTTTCCCCAAAAGATACCTCTTTATTCCGATTTGACTCGTCGATAAATTCATGTAAAAACTTATAATTAAATCACTTTTACCTCTAGCTCAAGTTCTACACAAATACAATTTGAGAAATTGTGCTTGGTTTTTTACCCTAAATACAGTTTGAATAACAACCACATTTTTAAAGATGGACTTGGTGGTACTTATAACTTATAAGGACTTTTGTCAGGATATCATCAGTTTTATGATAAATGTAGCTACTAGGTTTTAATAGTGAACAAGCCTATAACTTAGCAACAATCCAGCAGCGCCTCCATACGAAGTATATATCTCCCATTTTCTACGATATCCCAGGGCTTGTTTTTCCTATCATTATTTCCTTGATAGAGAGTTGGTGTTCACAAGGAAGCTATTAAACCAAGAGTTCCAAGTGGTGAAGTTGAAATCATCCATTTGTAAATTTTACGGACGCCATAACGAGTTGGTTGACTGTTATGGAATATCCGTTTCACAGATGATAGCGGATATGTTCCTAATGTCGTAACTACAATCCCGTCCCCTTTTCTCGCATGTAAACCTACCGAATTAGACTAATCCTTGGGTTTGTACTAACATGAGCAACATGACGGGTGCCACATATGGAGCAGAATCTGCTTACCCTTCCGTAGCACCTGAGATCACCCCCTGTTTTTGGTGGGGTTCGTGTTGCTCAGTCCTTAGTTTTCTATGTTGTGTTTTGTGTACTATTGTTTGTCTGTTGGTCATTTTTTTAGCCATTGCGTTGTCAGTTTAGTTTCGTCTTGTGAGTTTGAATGTCCCTTTTGTATCTTTCGCCTCTCTTTTACATATATACTTGAAACTACAACTGTATTTATATGAAGTTGGGCCATGTCCACTGTCAATACAGTCTAAATATAAACTTGTAACCACTTCTAGTTTGAAGATATGCTTTCCAAGAGCATACCCGGTACGTCTTCTAATTTGAGGATAAGACAACCTCGTGTGTTAGTTTCTGATATGAAGATAACTAGGACACGATTTTTGGGAATTGCTACCATCAGTCTATTGCCACTTATATACACACAAATATCTTAATGGTATATATAGTTTCTGTTCTTACTATATTCCATTTTTAATCGAAATTTCAATTTATTAGGCAATAAACCAAGGCAAGAGTCTGTATAGCATCAGTGAAACTTAAAAAAACAAAGGAAAATTTAAACTACTGCTTACTGATAGTAGACCAGGTATCGAGTTTGACTATCAGCAATGCTACTTTGTTTATATTGATATTTCTGCTATACTTAATAATGGGATAGATGTAGAGTGTATATTTAGCCTAGTGATACTTTAACCTTTACTAGATTATTCCATATATACAAAGATTTGAATTGGAAGTTTGTCTGTACCTGTAGAAAACTTATTATAATCGGGAAAATACATCCTATAAAAAGTAAAATAACAAAAATACCGAACTCCAAGGAAACACATCAAACACATCAAACAAATGCAAAACAACTGTTATATTCCTGACTTGGTACGGGCATTTTCCTTATGTAGAAAATGGTGGATTAAACCTGGTTTTATAGCTAGCTAAACCTCTCACTTGTATGACAGTCGCATAAAATTCCATTATATTGACAACAATGTGTGAACAAAACAAACAGACTTAATATGTAAAAATGTCAAAAATACAGCAGTCAACATTGTGTTATAATCTTTATTTCTATAAAAACAAACCAATTCGTCATCAAAAGAAAAACAAAATGGCATATAGACAAAGCCCTTATGCAAAAATGAAAGACAGGAATACAAAATATGACCATAGCATAATTTTCATAATTTTAGGTGATGTTGTTTACCGAACTTAGATACGATACGAGTAAACTTATCGATCCTTTAAATACCCTTATTCTAAAAAGGTTACCAATTCAACACTATAATTATATTTTTGAACATTGTTTTTATCGGTATAAATATTGATTTTGGTATCTGTAAATTAAAAACAAACTCAATATTATTAATATACACATATGTACATTATTCATGGTCCTACAAACTGTCGATACCTATATTTTGGCATTGCACAAGGTCATGTTTTTCTCTGACTGTTAATGACGTCTTTATACTAAATCCATTGGATGTTGGATGTGTACTGATTAATATCTTAGTCTTAGATTCATGACTTTTTTTATTAGTTGTTATTGTCTCTGAACTAGCTGTCAGTAATTGCGAGTACTCTCAGATCTGTAATTTGTGTCTTTTGTGTTTTTGTTCGGTTTTTTATGTGCTTTATATCGATCTGATGAGTTTATCCCTTTTCAAATGATTTTTATAGTTTGTTTTATGTTGTACTATTACACCACTGTCCAAGGATTAAGTGGAGGGTTTGGAGCCAGCAAACATGTTAAACCCCGCCACATTGTCCCAAGACAGGAGTCTGAATTTCAGTGGTTGTCGTTTGTTGCTGTAGATCATATTTGTTTTTCGTTTATTGGTTTGTACATAAATCAGACCGTTTGTTTTTTCCTTAGAATTGTTTTATATTTGTCATTTCGGGGTCTTAATAGCTTACTATGCGGTATGTGTTTTGCTCCCTGTTGAAGGCCGTACGGTGACCTTAGTTGTTTTAAAATTGTACGTCATTTTGGTGTCTGGTGGAGAATCGTCTCATTGGTAATCATACCACATCTTCTTATTTTTATATTTAAATACTACTGATATGATGGTGAATACGGTTTTTGAGTTTCACTGTTATGCTTAAATCAGGACTGAAAAATAACATTAGTTAACATTAGTACTTAAAACTATTACTTACTTGATGATGGACCAGATCTTTGGTCTGGCTATCATCGGGAAGTTTATACTGTTTTGATGTCGATAATAACATCATGCTTTTAGCGCCTCTTCTTGTAGCACCGTGCCAATGCAAATGATCATAGTCTTTTGGGTCGTCGGGGTGATATGAAAATATTATTCGCATGGTGGCATCCTATAGTATAATAATCGACAATAAGCATAATACATATTTTTGTGGATTAAGTGCATTATTATGCTTATATTTCGGAAATATCATTAAAATAATACAAACGTTTAAGTTTTTAAAATTCTATTTAACTTAGACACAATTTCTAGACTCCAACTATAAGATTTCATTTAACAAGACATATGTTTAGATGCCATTTATCGTAGACACACTTTTTAGACGCCATTTAATGTAGACACGATTTTTTACGGAAGCCGATAAGGGCCATTCAAAAAAAAAAAATTATGTCGTAATTTCGACATAACATGTCGTTATAACGACATCGCTATATCGTAATTTCGACATAACATGTCGTTATAACGACATCGCTATGTCGTAATTTCGACATAACATGTCGTTATTACGACATCACTATGTCGTAATAACGACATAGCTATGTCGTAATAACGACATCGCTATATATATATATAAAAGAATATGTATTATGATTGCCAAGAGACTTAATGACACAGAAATTAACAACTATAGGTCATCATAATGGCCTCAATAATGAGAAAAGCCCCCGCATAGTCAGCTATAAAAGAGGGACGAAAGATACCAGAGGGAGAGTCCCCGACATGACAGCTGTTTAATAATTTAATTCAAACGAATGAAAATAACGGTTTTAATAATGTACAAACAAAGACCGAAAAACGAATATGTAACACAGCAAACAAATGACAACCACTGAATTACAGACTCCTGACCGCTATGTGATAATAACGGCAACCTTATAGTTTAACTTTTCACTTTTTGATGCGATAGGCATTTCAAAATGGTTGTCAGTAAAGGCAAAGTTTGTAGCGGGAACAAATTCATCTTTTTTTGTTTAGAATAATGAACCCTTTATGCAATCAAGCTTAATTAAAGTTATTCACTTGCACCTCAGACTTGCACATACTAGAACTTTATTTATAATCAAGTCAAATGAGACCCAGTTGAATAGGGGAGCAATTCAAGCTCCTTGTAGCCTCTAATTATGTTTGGCATGTACAGATTTGTGTAAATTATGAAGTCCTGCATTTCCATTGCAGGTTCTGAATAAGACGAATTTTAAGCTTTTCCCAATAAAGACTATGTTAAACTTTGGACTCATAGTGCTCAGACCCACGGATCTCTGTACCTTCATTTGTACACACTTGAATCTTAATGTACAGTAACTACTGAGGCTTGATGCAAATTATTACTGCATTGCTATTGTTGGTTCTTAATGAGATTCTTCAAGCGTCCTCCCCATTGAAGCCCTATTAAAACTTTGTACCCCAAGTTCTTTTAACCACTGTTCCCCAGGGCAACTATTCCTACAAACTTAAGGGGAGGGTTAGGATTCCGCTAACATGTTTAACCCCGCCACATTCTTTATGTATGTGTATGTCCCAAGTCTTTAATTTACATATTTGTTTTTCGTTTATTTTTGTACATAAAATAGGTCGCTAGTTTTTCTCGTTTGAATTGTATTACATTTGTCATTTCGGGGCCTTTTATGGCTGACTATGCGGTATGGGCTGTGATCATTGTTGAAGGCCGTACGGTGACTTTAATTGTAAATTTCTGTGTCATTTGGTTTCTTGTTGAGAGTTGCGTTTTTGAACAAACCAGCGTAACCCAAGGCCTTGATAACCTCTGTAGGCCCCAAATAAGACGAAAAAAAACATCAAAATTGGAGAGAAAACTGAAAAAAATTGTTTCTAACCTCAGGGATATTAACCCTTGGCTATCTTAGATTTAATGCAATCAGTACGCATCAGCATCAGGGTACAGCTCATTTGCATATCATTTGCATATTTTTACAAATACTCGAAATTTAGACAATTTCTGATAACAATTCAGCATGCCAAGAGTTAATATCCCTGAGGTTAGAAACCATTTATTTTCTGTTTTCTCTCCAATTTTGATGTTTTTTCGTCTTATTTGGGGCCTACAGAGGTTATCAAGGCTTTGGGATACGCTGGTTTGTTCAAAAACGCAACTCTCAACAAGAAACCAAATGACACAGAAATTAACAATTATAGGTCACCGTACGGCCTTCAACAATGATCAAAGCCCATACCGCATAGTCAGCTATAAAAGGCCCCGAAATGACAAATGTAATACAATTCAAACGAGAAAAACTAGCGGCCTATTCTATGTACAAAAATAAACGAAAAACAAATATGTAAATTAAAGACTTGGGACAGACACATACATTAAGAATGTGGCGGGGTTAAACATGTTAGCGGGATCCCAAACCTCCCTCTAAGTTTGTAGGAATAGTTGTCCTGGGGAACAGTGGTTAAAAGAACTTTGGGTACAAAGTTTTAATAGGGCTTCAATGGGGAGGACGCTTGAAGAATCTCATTAAGAACCAACAATAGCAATACAGTTATAATTTGCTTCAAGCCTCAGTAGTTCATTAAGATTCAAGTGTGTACAAATGAAGGTACAGAGATCCGTGGGTCTGAGCACTATGAGTCCAAAGTTTAACATAGTCTTTATTGGGAAAAGCTTAAAATTCATCTTATTCAGAACCTGCAATGCCAAACATAATTAGAGGATCCAGGGAGCTTGAAGTGCTCCCCTATTCAACTGGGTCTCATTTGACTTGATTATAAATAAAGTTCTAGTATGTGCAAGTCTGAGGTGCTAGTGAATAACTTTAATTAAGCTTGATTGCATAAAGTGTTCAATATTCTAAAAAAAAAAAGATGAATTTGTTTACGATACAAACTTTGCCTTTACTGGCGACCATTTTGAAATTCCTATCGCTTCAAAAAGTGAAAAGTTAAACTATAAGGTTGTCGTTATTATCAGATAGCGGTCAGGAGTCTGTAATTCAGTGGTTGTCATTTGTTGCTGTGTTACATATTCGTGTTTCGGTCTTTGTTTGTACATTATTAAAACCGTTATTTCCACTCGTTTGAATTAAATTGTTAAACAGCTGTCATGTCGGGGACTCTCCCTCTGGTATCTTTCGTCCCTCTTTCATAGCTGACTATGCGGGGGCTTTTCTCATTATTGAGGGCATAATGATGACCTATTGTTGCTTATTTCTGTGTCATTTAGTCTCTTGGTACGGAAGCCGATAAGGGCCATTCAAAAAAAAAATTTATGTCGTAATTACGACATAACATGTCGTAATAACGACATCACTATGTCGTAATTTCGACATAACATGTCGTTAAAACGACATAACATGTCGTTTAAACGACATCGCTATGTCGTAATTTCGACATAACATGTCGTTATAACGACATCGCTATGTCGTAATCTCGACATAACGACATCGATATGTCGTAATTTCGACATAACAAGTCGTAATTACGACATCACTATAGCTATGTCGTAATTTCGACATAGCATGTCGTTATAACGACATCGCTATGTCGTAATTTCGACATAACATGTCGTTATAACGACATCGATATGTCGTAATTTCGACATAACAAGTCGTAATTACGACATCACTATAGCTATGTCGTAATTTCGACATAGCATGTCGTTATAACGACATCGCTATGTCGTAATTTCGACATAACATGTCGTTATAACGACATCGCTATGTCGTAATTTCGACATAACAAGTCGTAATTACGACATCACTATAGCTATGTCGTAATCACGACATAGCTATGTCGTAAAAACGACATCGCTATATATATGAAAGAATATGTATTATGATTGCCAAGATACGGAAGCCGATAAGGGCCATTCAAAAAAAAAAATTTATGTCGTAATTACGACATAACATGTCGTAATTACGACATAAAATGTCGTAATAACGACATCACTATGTCGTAATTTCGACATAACATGTCGTAATTTCGACATAACATGTCGTTATAACGACATCGCTATGTCGTAATTTCGACATAACATGTCGTTATAACGACATCGCTATGTCGTAATTTCGACATAACAAGTCGTAATTACGACATCACTATAGCTATGTCGTAATTTCGACATAGCATGTCGTTATAACGACATCGCTATGTCGTAATTTCGACATAACATGTCGTTATAACGACATCGCTATGTCGTAATTTCGACATAACAAGTCGTAATTACGACATCACTATAGCTATGTCGTAATTACGACATAGCTATGTCGTAAAAACGACATCGCTATATATATAAAAGAATATGTATTATGATTGCCAAGAGACTTAATGACACAGAAATTAACAACTATAGGTCATCATAATGGCCTCAATAATGAGAAAAGCCCCCGCATAGTCAGCTATAAAAGAGGGACGAAAGATACCAGAGGGAGAGTCCCCGAAATGACAGCTGTTTAACAATTTAATTCAAACGAGTGAAAATAACGGTTTTAATAATGTACAAACAAAGACCGAAACACGAATATGTAACAGAGCAACAAATGACAACCACTGAATTACAGACTCCTGACCGCTATCTGATAATAACGACAACCTTATAGTTTAACTTTTCACTTTTTGAAGCGATAGGAATTTCAAAATGGTCGCCAGTAAATGCAAAGTTTGTATCGTAAACAAATTCATCTTTTTTTTTTTAGAATATTGAACACTTTATGCAATCAAGCTTAATTAAAGTTATTCACTAGCACCTCAGACTTGCACATACTAGAACTTTATTTATAATCAAGTCAAATGAGACCCAGTTGAATAGGAGAGCAATTCAAGCTCCCTGGATCCTCTAATTATGTTTGGCATTGCAGGTTCTGAATAAGATGAATTTTAAGCTTTTCCCAATAAAGACTATGTTAAACTTTGGACTCATAGTGCTCAGACCCACGGATCTCTGTACCTTCATTTGTACACACTTGAATCTTAATGAACTACTGAGGCTTGAAGCAAATTATAACTGTATTGCTATTGTTGGTTCTTAATGAGATTCTTCAAGCGTCCTCCCCATTGAAGCCCTATTAAAACTTTGTACCCCAAGTTCTTTTAACCACTGTTCCCCAGGACAACTATTCCTACAAACTTAGAGGGAGGTTTGGGATCCCGCTAACATGTTTAACCCCGCCACATTCTTAATGTATGTGTCTGTCCCAAGTCTTTAATTTACATATTTGTTTTTCGTTTATTTTTGTACATAGAATATGCCGCTAGTTTTTCTCGTTTGAATTGTATTACATTTGTCATTTCGGGGCCTTTTATAGCTGACTATGCGGTATGGGCTGTGATCATTGTTGAAGGCCGTACGGTGACCTATAATTGTTAATTTCTGTGTCATTTGGTTTCTTGTTGAGAGTTGCGTTTTTGAACAAACCAGCGTATCCCAAAGCCTTGATAACCTCTGTAGGCCCCAAATAAGACGAAAAAACATCAAAATTGGAGAGAAAACAGAAAATAAATGGTTTCTAACCTCAGGGATATTAACCCTTGGCATGCTGAATTGTTATCAGAAATTGTCTAAATTTCGAGTATTTGTAAAAATATGCAAATGATATGCAAATGAGCTGTACCCTGATGCTGATGCATACTGATTGCATTAAATCTAAGATAGCCAAGGGTTAATATCCCTGAGGTTAGAAACAATTTTTTTCAGTTTTCTCTCCAATTTTGATGTTTTTTTTTCGTCTTATTTGGGGCCTACAGAGGTTATCAAGGCCTTGGGATACGCTGGTTTGTTCAAAAACGCAACTCTCAACAAGAAACCAAATGACACAGAAATTTACAATTAAAGTCACCGTACGGCCTTCAACAATGATCACAGCCCATACCGCATAGTCAGCCATAAAAGGCCCCGAAATGACAAATGTAATACAATTCAAACGAGAAAAACTAGCGGCCAATTTTATGTACAAAAATAAACGAAAAACAAATATGTAAATTAAAGACTTGGGACATACACATACATAAAGAATGTGGCGGGGTTAAACATGTTAGCGGAATCCTAACCCTCCCCTTAAGTTTGTAGGAATAGTTGCCCTGGGGAACAGTGGTTAAAAGAACTTGGGGTACAAAGTTTTAATAGGGCTTCAATGGGGAGGACGCATGAAGAATCTCATTAAGAACCAACAATAGCAATGCAGAAATAATTTGCATCAAGCCTCAGTAGTTACTGTACATTAAGATTCAAGTGTGTACAAATGAAGGTACAGAGATCCGTGGGTCTGAGCACTATGAGTCCAAAGTTTAACATAGTCTTTATTGGGAAAAGCTTAAAATTCATCTTATTCAGAACCTGCAATGGAAAATGCAGGACTTCATAATTTACACAAATCTGTACATGCCAAACATAATTAGAGGCTCCAAGGAGCTTGAATTGCTCCCCTATTCAACTGGGTCTCATTTGACTTGATTATAAATAAAGTTCTAGTATGTGCAAGTCTGAGGTGCAAGTGAATAACTTTAATTAAGCTTGATTGCATATAGTGTTCATTATTCTAAAAAAAAAAAGATGAATTTGTTTCCGCTACAAACTTTGCCTTTACTGACAACCATTTTGAAATGCCTATCGCATCAAAAAGGTGAAAGTTAAACTATAAGGTTGCCGTTATTATCACATAGCGGTCAGGAGTCTGTAATTCAGTGGTTGTCATTTGTTTGCTGTGTTACATATTCGTTTTTCGGTCTTTGTTTGTACATTATTAAAACCGTTATTTTCATTCGTTTGAATTAAATTATTAAACAGCTGTCATGTCGGGGACTCTCCCTCTGGTATCTTTCGTCCCTCTTTTATAGCTGACTATGCGGGGGCTTTTCTCATTATTGAGGCCATTATGATGACCTATAGTTGTTAATTTCTGTGTCATTAAGTCTCTTGGCAATCATAATACATATTCTTTTATATATATATAGCGATGTCGTTATAACGACATAGCTATGTCGTTATTACGACATAGTGATGTCGTAATAACGACATGTTATGTCGAAATTACGACATAGCGATGTCGTTATAACGACATGTTATGTCGAAATTACGATATAGCGATGTCGTTATAACGACATGTTATGTCGAAATTACGACATGCTATGTCGTAATTACGACATAATTTTTTTTTTTGAATGGCCCTTATCGGCTTCCGTAATTTTTAGACTCCATTTAAGGTAGAAACATTTCAGTCCTCCATTCCTCGAATATAACTATGAAAGAATGCAACTTATCATCGGACATTATCGTTTTACAGCTCAAATCAATAATATAATATAAAAGTTGGAGTTAGTTTGTTAAATCTCACAACACCTTATTTAAATTTAAAAAAATATAATTCTAATCTAATCAATTTAAACCAGAAATCCTGTCAAGCTAGTAAATGTCCTTCTGTGCAGTTCTAACACATTTATTATAAGTCTTTGTTTGAACTGTAAAGAACAAATATGACAACCCCTTACTTAAAAATAAGGAATGTGTCCCTCGTACATAGCTCTGATTGACACTACTCGTTGTCCTTTCGGTTATATCTGCTCTGCAAACTTTGTATTAGGTTTTGAATTTTCTAACAGTTTGGCCTCGAACATCACTGAAGAGTTATTAATTGCCGAAATGCACATCTGGTTCAATACAGTTAGTACGGTATTTCGTAAGAACACGTTTTACATTAAACCTTCACAATTAAGAGAAATTGAATTCTACAATTTCATTAAGCACTTTGTTAACTCTGAGTATTTGAACATAATGTACTATTGTTGGATAGACAAATTACTTACAACGATATTCGTGTCATTATCGTCACATGTGGTCAATGGTCTTTCAAATTTAAGCAGCGTTCCAAAATTATTCTCTTCCCCATGAAGAAGTGTCCAATCCTGAGAAATATCCTTTACTGGTTGGAAGTGACCGACAGTGTGTAGATCCTGTGTGTAAATATAAATGAACTGAAATGAATTATAATTGGGTTTTTTTTCATAACTTACACTAATATTGTCCGCATTTGGCTTCCTATGCCGTGTGTATTTTATTCACGCAGTCCTCCGTATTCAATATCCATTCCAACTTTTCTATTTCAATGCGATTTTACAAATGTTTTGATAATACCATGTGATTTTTCTGCTTTTTGTTTGAAGGTGAAAAAATATAAAAATAAGGAGATGCGGTATGACTGCAAATGAGACAACAATCCACCAAACTTCAAATGAAGTGGATGTAAGCAATTATAGGCAATCGTACAGCCTTCAACAATGAGAAAACCCCTTACCGTATAGTCGGCTATAAAGTACCCTGACATCAAAAATGTGAAACATTTCAATTGAGAAAACTAACGGCCTGATTTATAACAAAACAATATACGAAAAACAAATATGACAGACATGAACCAACGACAACCACTGAACTACAGGCTCCTGACTTTTGGACAGGCAAGCAAAGAATGTGGCGGGGTTAAACATGCTTGTGAGCGCTCAACCCCTCCTCTAACCTGGGAGAGTGGTGAAGTCAGAAGAAAAAGGCTTAACTCATCAGATCGATACAAAGCAGAAAAACACCAAACAAAAACACATACCGGAAGTTACAGGGTATTTATACATCCCTAACAACTAACAACAACAAAAGACACTAAGTACAGATCTGAGAGTATTCTCAGTTTCTGACAGCTTGTTCAAAGCCAATAACAGCTAATAAAAAAATCATGTATCTAAGACTAAAATATCAATCAGTACACATCGAACATCCAATAGATTTAGTGTAAATACGTCATTAACAGTCAGAGAAAAACATGACCTTGTGCAATGCCAAAATATAGGTATCGACAGTTTGTAGGACCATGAATAATGTACATATGTGTATAATAATAATATTTAGTTTGGTTTTAATTTACCGATACCAAAATCAATATTTATACCGATAAAAACAATGTTCAAAAGAAAAACATGACCTTGTGCAATGCAAAAATAAAGGTATCGAAAGATTGCAATACTGTTAAAGTGCATATGTGTATAACATTACAATAAAGTCTTGGCAGGCAACAAATGTTAGAATTTGACGGAATTCTTTATGGTTTCAGATGTAATTTGTGATTATTGTAGTTTGGGTACCTTCGAAGAGTATGTGTACCGGTTATGAATCAATATCGATGAGTTTTTCCTAAATCCACCCTAGAGCCGCCTGTATATTGATGCTGATGCATAAAATATTGACAGTAAGGTATAATCTAAATTTCCAATTGAAGATGTAACGAAAACTGTCAAGATAATAGGGAATAGCAAAGACATTGTTGCTTTTTGGTAAATACATATATATTATTTTGGTTATTAATTAGAAGTTCATGGCAGTTTTGCGTTATGTACATCTGTCGAATGTCATGTCTCTCCCATTTTAAAAAGTAAGACAAAGAAAGAATTGTTGGTTTAGAGTTGCATACATTTCGTAATTTGTTATGTTTTTGTTACAACTTGTTTAGAGGTTAATTTTGCACTTTGTTTTTGTTTTTTGTTGGCCATTTCTAATAAAACAAAAATCTCAATGACCTTGATAACAATTGTAATACTTTCTTATCGGTTTTGTGCTTATTTAATGACAGTCGTGTTGGTTTTCGAAAAATATGAAATTCTTTTTAGCCTAAAGTAATCATATAAGTACCACGATCATAACGCAGTATGTTTTTAAGGTTTCGATTCGAAATAACAAAAATCCTTGATTTTGAAAATACTTACAGAAAAATGTGGAACTCCATCTTTCACCCAACCTACAACTACATCAGAAGGGTACATTTTTCCATTAGGAGAAATTCCAAAACCAAAATATCCTCTGGTTTTTACATGTACTTCGAATGTTATGTGTGTTTTGTTAAACTTCCAAAAGACATGATAGTTCCCCAGATGGTCTAAAGTTTCATGCAACAGAAAACGCTCAGTCGGAATCGGAGTTAGATGAGGAATAGCTTTCGTTGTCCAGAGAAAAGCCAGAAAAAGGAGCAATTGGCTAGTGATCTTCATATCATTTATAGTCACAAAGAATAATTCTTACTACCTATATATACAATAAGAAGTACTGATAAGAGGAATCAAGGGCATGCATATTTCACAATTTATCATATTATGAATCTAGGACATATTTCACAATATACATATGACATTTCTTCATATTAGAAAACTGATGTGTTCGTCTTTTCAGTCCCTTTTTTGTACTGTCTGCTTGACTTACTATTATTTGTATTTGGCCTCCAACTAGTTCTCAATGGATTCTTTGGTCAAAATTGCTATTATTTCATTTCAATAAATCTTTAAAGTATATGGAAATCAAACTGTTGACATCAATCTTAACTCGTGAAATCGGTTATATATCTTACTTTAGTAGCACTAGGTCTGCTGTTACTGGTAGTCGATAAGCCCTCGAGGTTGCTATCCGTCCGGAGAGATACGCGTCGGTAATGGTGTTATTAGAATGTCATCGCTTTACTGGACCAGCTACAGTTGACTATAAATGAATATGGTATTCTTTTAATATCTTTTTGAAAAAATGAGCTGAATCATTTATTGACATACTAAATATGCTGTGTGTGTGTGTGTTATGAAAGTCCTGAGCTAACCATTTTATCTTTTTTTTTTAATTCAGATATTTCATTTAATATCATTTTCGAGAAGAATTTAAGGTGTTTTTTTTTTATTGGGGGGGGGGGGGGGGGGGGGGGTTGCTGTAAATTATTTGAAATTAGGGATTGTATCACAATCATGCATAGCTCTGATCCCAATGCAATGATTTTTTTCTCTCAAATAGATCTTTAAAAATGTTCTAATTTTTTTTTAAATTTCACAACCTGAACACTATATTTCGCCATGAATGTAGGTAGGTACGAAAACGTTCTGATCAGATAATACTAATCCCACTGAGAACAAGAAAATTACGGCAATTTAACATTGTATAATTGATGATGACTAAGTATTTATTTTATAAGAACTTCATTTAATTTTCGGGCATTTATAGATAGATTTTGTATATCCTTACACCTACATCGTATGGTCCATTGACTCATTCACAGCGGTTTAAAGTCTTTCGGTGCACTTGGTTTTTTAATTGGAGTCGTTTTTCTGATTTAGTCGTTTTTACATTTCTTTGACTTTAAAAGAAAACGTGTAGGCGGATTCAAATCTTGTTTTAATTTATTTCATAGTTTTGTTTATTTACCTCGCTTTCTAAGGCGGCGGTACATAGTGATGGTGGAGTCCGTCCGTCCGTCCGCCCGTCCGTCCGTCTTGACCTACTTTTGTATCCACAACTATGCTTGAATTGCTTGACATAATTATATGAAACATTCACAGAATCTTTACCCTGTCAATATAATAATTCCAAGATCACATAATGTACTGCTGCACCACCTATTTCAATTCTTCATCTGAATGATTTTTGTGATTTATTCTGGGATGATATGGACTAAGTAATATCTGCACACGAAAGGTCACATTTCGGGGTACCCATTTGTATCTGCAACTCATCCTAAACACCTCAATTATTACAATAATTTTGATCCGAATAATTTTTTGGGGATTTTCCTTACCCATGCATGAACTTTGTAATCGCTTTGTTTTGTGATGGTATCTATTTCGTATCCGCTAATCCTCCTAAACCCCTTATTTTAAAAGCAAATGTTAAAATTTCTCACGTTTTAAACCATGTACTAGTAATGCAATTGTGGACCGCCTTTTTTATCAGAATCATTATCCTGGTTTCCCTCAGTAAATCATGTGCATACTACGGTACACATTTATATCCCCTTCTCCTCCTAATCAGAATTTGAAGACTTCACCATATAACAATGCCAAAGTGCACCTCCTATTTTGCCTTGATTTCAATTATCTTTAGGGTTTCCATTACCAAAGCTTGAACTTGCAAGTGACGGGTTACCATTTTGTAAGCTTTGCTCACAGTACCTCTAATTTATAATTACTTGTGGTTTTTCTGTTTATTATTGTATTTTACCCTTCTATACTATTAAACACATTACTTGGTATAGATTAAATTAAATATTAATATTTGTTGAAGATTGTTATTTAACTAGTAAGCACTTTAAACCTGGAAAATTGAAAGATACACTTTATACAGTGTGAATGGTGGTATAACTTAAATGGCAGTTACACACAAGCACGAAAGTTAGGTCTGTAGTATGGAACAACTTAGTACCATATTGTTTCGTCGGATATAATCTAGAGATATATTGGACAACGACTGGCTTTCGAACAAAAACAAGAAAACAAGAAAACAATAGATAACGTCGGTTTTAGGAGTGCAAAACCTCCTTCCAGCTATACTGAACTTTTAACAGGCATGTCGTTACGGTCTCAAAAAGATTTATGATACGTTGAACCTATGAAAAGACTGAAAAAAATTTCATAAAAAGGGCCCCAGTGTAAAAAATGGGGCTTGCACTACGTCTTTAGACCACTTTATAAAATTCATCATCTCGGGTGTTTACGTAGGAGATAATAGCTAAGGCCTAAACATTAATCACATTAATCACAATATAGTCTTATAAATGGAAAAATCAACAAATTAAAGACTGTCAAGAAATGTATTTGAAGTGATTTTTTTAGTGAACTTCCAGAGGACTTCCTATATATACTTTGATTAAAGTGACAAGGGCTTTAAATAACAGAAAAATGCAAAATACACAAGTTTAATCATTTGATTCAGCGCTATCACATTTGTCATTCTTTAACTTTTCAAACGTAATAAGTAAGCTGTCAAATACTTGGAAAAATGGAGACAAAATATTACAAAAAATATTACCAATGACACATGACATTCTCCTGCTTACAACTAATTATGGTATAACTTGTTCAAATTTTATAACTTTAATTGAGTTCCAGGTATATAGACGCGCTTTTGTAACAGCTCAATTAACCATTGATTTTTGTAAGCTAATATTTTCTGTAGGCCTACGAAAATATCAATACAGTCCTGATAATAGGTCATCTGTTCACCTCCAGAAAATGTGTTTGACATGCGCATTATGAGCTTTCTAGACAAGTCATTGCTTGTTAGACGTAATATCAGGTGATAAACTTATCGTGGGTTTGTAGAATATAATCTTTCGGGTTATGATAGTTTGCTGTTGAAAAAGTATCCTGGATATACCAGGGCTGCGTATAGACATGCATGATAGAGTCAGCTTACAATAGTAGAATTTAGTTTGTAAAAAAATAAAATATTTATACCACACTATTTGCGTTTTCCTGTCATATACTTAAATGTAGACTCAAATTGTTACATCTTTATAGTGTGTATTTGCACAATGTCACCTATGATGTGCTCCATAGATTAAAGCGATGAAGACTTATCAAAAAGCGAAACCGTGTCGTCAGAAAGTTATAAAAAAAACCTTTCGGGGTCATGAAGACAATCAGGAACTACAGCAAATTCAGTCGAAACCTGTTTATAGCAAATTTGTCGATCTGTGTTTAGAACGTCCAATACCGATAATTTTTTATTAATTTTATTTGCATTGATTCCTTCCGATGCATTGAATACTGGCGGATGGTATCCTTGACGGGTATAACATCAGTACAAGATTGATGGCTATAGTAATTAGACATGTATACTCTAACACTTTTTTTTTTATAATTTAGGGCCACTGACTACCTTAAACGTTTGGGTTCAAACATTGGTTTAAAGGACTAGTGAATTAAAAAATGATTGAAAGGGTATTTCTATAACTATGCATGTGTTTTTCTTTCTTACTTTTATAATTATGTCTTTTGTTACAGTGTAACTAAAATAACTGTTTATTAAGGGACACTGAAAAACTAAAAGTCGACAAAAAAAAATACAACTTCTAACTTTAACTTTTAATCCTATCTTAACTCTGTCGTAAACTTGATTTGACTATTATAGAAAAGATACAGACAAATTCAAATTTCATTTTCCGATTCTTTCAGAATAAGAAAGTTTACATGGCGTGTGTATTCATCTGCATAATTCATATGATTTCTGCGATAGCTGGAACTAAACTTTCTTTCAGAGAACATTTGACTTTTTTTGGGATATAGATAGATTAAAAAGTTGTGACAAAAGCTGTAACTTTGATCTGCGAATGTTCTGTTGCCTTGCTGCTATTCTTTTTAAATGTTGGTCCAAAAATGTCTTCACATTCTTTATGTGCCTGTCCCAAGTCAGGAGCCTGTTTTTTTAGTTGTTAATCATATTTGTTTTTCGTTTATCGTTTTGTTCAGTTTGTTCTTGTGTTTTTCTGTCGCACCACTGTCCCAGGTTTAGGGGAAAGGTTAGGCGCCCGCTAACATGTTTAAACCCGCTACATTCTGTATGGGCCTGTTCCAAGTCAGCAGCCTGTAATTCAGTGGTCGTCGTTCGCTGTTGTATATCATATGTGTTTTTCGTTTATTGTTTTGTACATACACCAAGCCGTTACTTTTCTGGTTTAAATTGTTTTACGTTTGTCAATTCGGGGTCTTTTATAGCTTGATAGCTTGCTATGCGATATGGGTTTGGGTTTTGTTCATTGTTGAAGGACGTTGCTTACTTCTACGCTATTTGGTCTCTGGTGGAGAGTTGTTTCATTGGCTATCATACCACATCTTCTTTTTTTATATTACATAAAATTGTTACCTTTCTGGTTAGACAAACAGTTGTAATTCTATTATAAGCGATGACAGAGTGTCATATAAATTGAATTTTATAACCCCTAGTGATCTTCATATTGCTCTGTTATAAAGTTAAAGTAACAAGTGAATATATCCTAAAACCGTTATAAGAAAATAAGCGCCTCAAGTTTAACAAAAAGACTCTTGGATTTTTTTAATACTTTAAGCTATAATTTCAAGCAGCATTTATGTATTTTATAACCAATAATTTTACGACATTTGATTAATAGATTGATTGTTGCTTGCTTTATGTCCAGTGGCAAATATTTCGTGCATATATAGGACCATAAAAAATGGACTATTTATAAAATAGGTAAGTTCTGGGAGAATTTGGATGCGAC